CTCCAGCCTGGACAACAGAATGAGACTCTGATTTAAAAAAAAAAAAAAAAAAGATGTTTCAGTATTAAGAGACTGTATTCTATTACCAAAACCCCTTCCTTATACACGGGAAGAGCAATGCCTGAAGCTGTTGTCCATGAATGTCTATAATCAGCCTAGACTTACCTACTAAAAATTATACATTGGTTTAGGATAGTTCCTCAACTTTGTCACTGTTAACATTTTTGACTACAGAATTTTTTTAAAAAAGATGTAGGGTACAATTCAGGATTAGGTATACAAAATTTTTGTTTTAGGGGGCTTCCCTGTGTATTACAGGATGTTTAAGCTAGCAACATTCCTGGGCTCCCTCTACCAGATACAATGGCATCCCCCTGGAGACAATGAGAAATGTCTCCAGACATTGCCAAATGTCCGCAGGGGGTAAATTTTACCCTTACTCAGTTGAGAACCAGTATTCTAGGATAGTCACAAGAATCTTGCTAACAAGCTAATGGAGCTGGTAGTATCAAATCCATTTTCAGTTGTGGAAACTGAGACAAGGAAATAATGACCGACTTAATAAATGGCTGAGCCAGCATTTGTATTCAATGTGATTAAACTGCAAAATCACATGCTCTTTCAACTAAGAAACAATTCTTTCCGAGGCGGATTAGTAAACAATAATCTGGGAATAAGAAGTAGAGAGCACTTGCCTAAAGGAAGCAAGATCCTGGACATTCATGAAGATGAATGGGAATGAAGAAGTCACTGATGAACTTTACCAACTAGTCTGCAATTACACCTAAAATCAACTCCCCTGACCTTTTGACACCCTTTATTTGCTGGAGACATGAATCAACCCTGCTTCTTAAAAGAATAATTTTTTTTATGAGTTTCTCTAGTGAAGACCTAGAAAGAATGTGAAAAGAAATTAGTCTTCAGTGTAAAAATGACTGGGTTGCTCTTGCTACATTTTAAGGAACCTCAAGCTCTGCGCCAGAATTTAGGTCCTGGAACTTTAAAACTGTGTGAACTAAGTCATTTAATGCCTACTGAACTGGGTCCCCATTCACATCTAGACAAAAGGAGAGAAATAATACATCTCCCCTCTCCTACCTTCATCTCTACCAGGAAAGCTTTAGGATAAACTGGAATCGTATTTGTAAAGTAAATATGTCAGCTATTCCATACCAACCTGAGAATTATTTTTTTAATTAATGTGTTATACTCTATTTAAAAACACAATATTGCTAGACTTTTCTGAAAGTGACTATATTCTTCAAATCTATTATTATTATTACCGAGTCAGGGTCTTGCTGTGGCACCTAGGCTGGAGTGCAGTGGCACAATCACAGTTCAACACAGCCTCAACCTCTTGGACTCAGATGATCCTTCCACCCCGGCCTCCCAAGTAGCTGGAACTTATAGGCATGCACCACCATGCTTGGCTAATTTTTAAGATGATTTCAATCCTGGGTATTTCAACCAGAAATCTTGCCCTTAAATAGAAATCTTAATACTGTGGAGTTACATAAAGTTTGATTCCCTTTCAAATTAAAAATACTATAAATATATAAAGATTCACTATCATGTCCATTCACTGCAACACTATTCCACTCCGCCTATATTCCAATCCCAATTTCAACTCCCTCTCAAATGCTTTCACAATACTCTGGCTTACTTGTGTTTACCTTAAATAGTAGTACCCAAACCTAGACCCCTACTCAAATGAGGAGTAACTGAATATGATACAGTAATGTCAAACAGCATTAGCAGCTTGGCACTTTTCTTGAGAACCTCTTTCATCCTTTTATAAAACTCACTGTGGACCACATTTGGTTTTCACTCATAGCAAAATGCATACACAGCCAATAGAAGTAATACATGCCATAATGTAGGGTGGTTTCACAGTTGAGTCCTAAGTGAAGAGATAAAGCCCAGGAATTATCTAGCGATAAACTGATCTGTAGCACACTGGTAGCAGTATCAAAATATTATTTAACATATCCAGGGCTAGATCATTACTACATTTCTGTTTGCTGGCCCACTATTCCAAAACATGGGAAAAAATGAAGGAGAAAATGTAAGAAAATATGTTATACGTAAGTCATCCTACAAAAATGGGTATCAACTTTTTCAGGCCACATAGAGCTCTTACTTACAATATTGGCAAAGTTGCTAACAAAAATCATTATTGGACAAAGAGAATTCGCCTTTTAAGACTGGTATAGAAAGAGAGGCAGTAAATGCAAAGCTTTAGGATAAACTGGAATTGTAGGTGCCACAACAAGACCCTGACTCAGAAAAGTCTAAACTTTTCAATCTTAAGTGCATCCAAATTCAAAAGACAAAAGCATCCAGAAGTACATACCTAGGCTTTCTCCCCTACTTCATTTATCTCTATCCCTCCATCCCCACTGACATTTATCTCTTCAGATTTAAGCCCCTTCAACTCCCTCATGGTAATATACTTTTTGTTGTTGTTGTTGCAGTGACCCTCCAGGATAAAGGCTCCTAATAATCAAAAGAGAAGATGTTGACTGTGAGAACCAGGGACAAATGGTAACAATGGCACAAGAATGATTTTTTTAAAGGGTTAGGTAGAAAGGACCTCAAGGCCATTCTCAGAGGTGACCAGATATGCTGTACGTCAGGGACATGGAAGTACCACTGGGGACATGATATTTTTTAGTATTCCCACAATATTGGTATGTGTGGGAGCATGAGCAGTATTAAGCATATCAAATTTGCTTTAACTATATAAAAGGCAAAAGTCAAACAGAACCAGTTAAAAATCCTGGATGTACTGTGGCAATTTCCAGAACAAACATCTTCATTTCAAAGTGTTCCAGCCTCACAGAGCAACCAGGAAAAAGAACAGTTACTAGAAACATCTCATTTCCTCGGTTTGAGAGTCTGTTTCAGTGCTATATAGTAAAGGCTAACAGTGACTGAATATTATGTGCCAGACTTCATGCTAAGCTTTGCATATGCTTCATTTAATCTTCCAAGAACTGCAAAGATAGGAGTTGATATCATTTTTACAGATAAGAAAACAGAGGCTCAGAGGGGTTACGTATATCATATGTCCCAGGTCATATGATTGGTAAGTGATAGAACCTAGGTTAGAACTAAGGTAGTCTGAATGTAGAATACAGACCTCAGTCACCACACTTTTCTATCTCCATGGAAAGCACACACATGCACAAAAAAGCCTGTTTACAAATCACCAATCTTTTTATTTTCATTATCTAATTTTTATTTTAGAACAAAGCTAACCAATACAGAAAAAAAAACCCACTAAAAGTTCTTGCTATCGTGGATCACCTTTGGTGAGTGTTTTAGGAAGTAATCTATTGAAGACACACAGCATAATAATTATAGAGGTTCAACCATGGACGACTCTAAGTCTTTCTTATTTTAAAAATAGGAGAACCAGCCCTATCCCACAGAATTGGTGTGACGAGTAAACGAAAGAATATGTGCATACAAAAGCATTCTGGAATCTGAAAATGACTATATTCTATTCGGTATCACTTTTGTGAAACATAAAAAGCATAGGTTTGGTAAATCAGACAGAACACACTGTTAACATATTTGCAAAAGGCAGCCAATTAACCAATGGAAATTAGGTATAACGTGTACAACTAAGACCAAGGGAAAATTACTTCCCAAGGATATTTTTAGCAGCCTTTATAGCTTGTGTGGGAGAAAATTTAACAAACACTTCTGGGAACTTTATGTCAGCAGTCAAATGTAGAGGACTGTAGCAAACAGAACCATCACTTCCTGTTCCCCAGTCCTACGTACAGGCAGTAGTGGCAAACGCCAGTTCAAACACTACCCTCGACCAGGCCCTTCCTTGATCTCGCCAGACAGAAATGATCAAGCCATTCCCTATATGCTCTCACAGCACATCTGCTATTTCATCGGCATTTCATTCTGTTATCAGAGCTATCGGCTGCTTCCAATCTTGACTTCCTTCTATTTGAACCCGTAAAATCACACAGCACCTCAAACACCTAAGGCAGATACACGATCCTATTGGCTGGTACCCAAATGCTTGCACTATGAAGTTTGTATTTCACAATTACAAGCCTACGGCTGTAGTTCCAGTCCACACCAGGGGATAAACACACGTGCAGACACACCACAGACGTAAAAACATTCAGGATGGAAAAAAATCTGGTTATGCACACTATCTTTCCCCCTAGGTGATCTGTAAAGAAATGCTCTTCAGCAAAGTGGATGGGAGGCATAAACGAAATGAAAGTGAGGAGACGGGTGCACTAGAACGTTCAAAACTGCGGTTGGAATTCAGAACAACTCCTTTCTCCACCTTGCTTCACAAGCACATCAGGCACCTCTTGCATCACAAAGGGAGAGGACTCTAACTCGTGCACGATCTGTCCTCGGGGTTAAAGACCATGCCTCTTATTCTCTAAACCGCCCAGGAGCACTTCCTATGTACGTTTCAGATTAGGAATCCTTAGCAAAGGCCATCCTCCGGACCGGGATAGGGCAAGGAGTGGGGACCTGGGAATGGAAAAACTCAACCTACAGCGCTGTAGGCCCAGAGCGTGAGTACTCTGGTTGCACAGGGGACTGGGGCACCTCCTGCGAGGCTCCCAGGAAATGCGTCCCTGGGCTTCACTCCACGCCACGCGGGCCTGCACCGGAGAGTAAAATGCTGCCACGCGCGTCTCCCGGGGCTTCGAGGCCAGCGTGGGTCCGCGTGAGGCTGCGGGCGGTGGCGGGGACGCCTCTCCGCCCTCCCTCCACACACCGGGGCCGCCGTCATCCTGCTCCGAAAGGCTCCCTGATGCACCCATTAATCGCAGCGCGCTTCCAGTCTCCCAGGACACGGCCTCCCGTCGCCAGAGGAGATCGCGGGTCTGCGTCTTCTCCCACCTCGCCACCCCACGCCCCTTCCCCGCCCCGCACGGAGACCCCTTGGGCCCCGGCGGGCGACTTCGCACCCACCCCGTGTCGTAGCTGTGCACGGAATCACCCATTACCTTCCCCAAGCAAATGTGGCACGTGATGGGCAGCGTGAGCGACAGTGTAACGTTCTGCACGGTCTGAGCCATGGCAGCGTTCAGAATCCCGCCAACACGGAAGTCCCGCCGACCGCGGCTCCTCTCCACGACTAAGGACGCGCCAGGCAGGCTACGGCGGCCCGGCAGGGCCACGGCCCGCCCGGGAGAGGAAACCAAAACGCGCTTTCGAAACGAGCGGGTTCCCAGGACTTTTTCTTTCATTAAAAATAAAAGAAGAAGAAGAAAAGAAACTTCCCCCCGTTCAGGAGCGGCAAGATTCCTGAAAATCGGAAGGAAGAAGGAAGGTGGTTTACTACAGGTAGACGAGAGGAAGATAGGAAAAGGAGATTTTTAATCCCCAGATCTGTTTCGGGGGCGGGGAGAGGGGAATCCGGAGGGGGAAGGGAAGGTTTTTTTGCCGAAAGATGAAACCCCACACAGTTCGCGAACACACGGCGCAATCAAAACAGGAAGAGAAAAGACTTAGTATACATTTTAAACAGCTCTCCGCCTCTCTCCGCTCACATTCCATTCTTAAACGATAAAAGGGGCTGCCAGAGGGCACAGCCATTCACTTAAGAAAAACAGTGTCTCCTTATCTGTGTCCTAATCTGGATACATTTAATCGCAGCTTTCCTTGGAGAAGAGCGTTCCCTGAGAGCCTTCCTGTGGTTTCCGCCTGGAGGAGATCTGAGGATTGGAGCCAGGGCTTTTGACACCCCTTCAGTGCGAGACCTGCAAGTAGTGGGAGCCCTCCCCGTGCGCAAGGCGTTTTGATTTCAGGTGCACGGCTGGGTATGGAAAGTACCCCCTGTGTTGTTGAATTCCAGGGGGGAGTTCGCGAGTTTGTAAGTCATCATTTCCCACCAATGAAAAAGAAAAAAAATTAAACTTTCTAAGTGAATCTTTAGTATAACAAATTTGGACTTTGCTGCTTACTTTGGGGGGCGGAGGGGGCGAGATGAGATTAATACATGCTTACTAGCATATCTATAGAAGGATCAGGAAGTAACGTGATTATGACAGCTACGAGTTCGCTTGAAGAAGGCTACCCCAGTGCAGCTCTAAACTGGCTCACGAGTGACAGTGAAAATCCCTCCCAACAGCGTAACTTCATTTCCTAGGAATTGGAGAGCATCACGTGCTTAGAACTGAAGAACTGGGCAAAATAGTTATGTTGATTATCTACTTAATGACTACTTTTTCAGAAAGCCCGATGTAAGTCATCTAGTTTGGCTAGGTCCCGATTATTTGAAAGCAAGGCCATATTTATATGAGGTCCAGAATTCACAATTTGTCAGTGCATCTTTTATTTTTCTGTCTGTAGACTCCAGACCACAGAATAAGAAAGTTCTGAGTCATCATCCACTGTCATTATAGTTTTGCTTGTCCCCATCTTACTGTTTTCTTCCCTGTTCTCACCTTACCCACATTTATACCTAACATGATATTTTGGGGCCTCCTACACCCTCTGAGCGGGATGTAGGGCTGAGAATGTTCTGCCTTATCCCATCCATCCCCGGAAACAGTAAAGCAAGAAGACAAATTGAAGGCACTTTTTTGTTTGTTTATTTTTAATTGGCTTACTTATTTATGGGGCACAATGTGATGTTTTAATACATGTATGCATTGTGCAATAACCAAATCAGGGTAATTAGCAAATCCATCATCTCAAACATTTATCATTTCTTTGTGGCAAGAACATTCAAAATTCTCTCTTCTAGCTATTTTTAAATATACAGTTCATTATTGTTAACTATAGTCACCCTATTGTACAGTCAACGTACTGTACCATCCTGATCCCCCTCTCCCCGCCCCCAAAACAGATTTGGGGATTAAAAATCTCCTTTCTATATCTTCCTCTTCTCTACCTGTAGTAAACCACCTTCCTTCTTCCTTCCCATTTTCAGGAATCTTGCAGCTCCTGAACGGGTGGGGGGATGGGATTCTTGTCTTCTTTTTTTAAAATGCTTTCTCTAGAATTTATTTCTCTTATTTAACTGTAACTTTGTATCCATTGACCAACCTCTTTTCATTCCTCCAGACACCCAACTATGGTAACCACTATCCTACTTTCTACTTCAAGGTCAACATTTTTAGATTGTACATATGAGTGAGATCATGGGATATTGGTCTTTGTCTGGCTTATTTCATTTAGCATCCTCCAGGTTCATGTTGATGCAAATGACAGGATTCCATTCATTTTTATAGCCAAATAGTATTCTATTGTGAAGACACTGCATTTTAAAAAGAATTTTCCATTGCTTACTAGGGTAAGTTTATTCCTTGTAAGTCATTCTGGTAATGGGATGTCAGTACCAAGTCACAAAGATAAATTTTAGAAATTAAACCTTCATTTAAGTAGAATATTAAAAATCCAGACTGTCCCCAACATTTCTTTCCACATTTAATATCATTGTCACAGTTTCTCAGTGCTGTTTTAGTGTTCTGTCCAAATAGCTATTTTTGCACTGATCATACTGTATTCTAGTTGATGGTATGTTTGCCCCCACAGCAGACAGTGTTTCTTGAGGTCAGGGATTGCATCTCATTTATCTAGTATCTGGTACTAAGCAACTAATCCACAAAAAGCAATATTTCCCTTAGCTACAGCCTACCTTTATTATAAACCCAGGATGTTTTATTTAACAATTTCTTTGTTTTTCACCTCAAAATGGAAGACTCTGTGCTTTTTGAGAATTATAAAAGTAACACAAGCTCATTTTAAGAAATTAAGCCTTTAAAAATATATGAACTAATAAAAGTTTCTTTATACTGTTACCTCACCTCTCTATCTTGTGTGGTAATTACTATTAACATTTTAGAGCATATTCTTAAAACATTTTAGTTCATATTTACTGTATGTGTAAGTACAAACAAGATCATGGTTTGATATACCTGCTTTGTTCACTTAATTCTTTTTAGACACACACACACACATACACATTCTAATAATATTAACAATACAGGTTGATTAGAGAAAGGACCAAATAAATTTCAGACCCATTCCCAGGCTTTGCTTTTAATAATGTAAGTGGTTTAAATTAGGAACTATCTCTTCTCTCTGCTCTATGAAGGGCATTTTTCGGTTTTTGACAAATGATGTTCTGAATTGATGATTTTTGGTCTAAATCGTTAAACATTTTTGCCATTACTCTAATAGGAAAACAAAAATTACATGGCTCGTTGACTTTCTGCTTAATTTCTGCTTCAACTTCATAGTAGCCTTCTGGGGAGCCAGTGATAGGAGGAGTTCTATTACATATGACACTTAGAATGGGCTAAAGCCTCCTAAATCTTTAGACTTATAAACATTTAGAACTAGCAAGGCTCTTAGGGGTTATTATGCAGGCTTTGCTTTTCACAGATGAAGAAATCGAGGCCTAAATAAGGCAAACCAGCAGAAAATAGTAGAATTGGAGCTAAATCCTAGACCACACTTGATGGACTCTGGGATTGTTGGCCCAATGCCTTTGTGTAAGTGCAAGATGTATTATTATTAATAAAGTAGTTCAGTAATAAAAAGTCAGTCATAATTGAATTTCTTTGCTAAGAAAACCATCAAATAGCTATGGAACACCTTTTACCCCATGTTTAAATCAGATTCATTTTGATGATAAATTATTTAAAAGCAAGTTTAAAAAAAATATAAAATCTTAAGTGCTATTAAAAATTGATTAGGAATGCATTATTCTTTCATTGACTGAGTTCAGATTGTTTTTTAATTTTTTTGGTCAAAGCTAATAAATTTGAGTAGATGTTTCAGACAGACGTTTTGTAATCATTTGGTCATCAGTCAATTAATCACAACTTCATAAATATTGATTTCAGGTTACATTTATTTTTCATTCTTGAAAGACATTTTTTTGTTTGTTTTAAATTCATATACTCCCACCTGTATTGTGGTTAACACTGGGAAAATTCATAAAAATTGTATGAAAAATTAATCAGAGGTTCTGGCCCAGTTGCATGGATGTCAGGTAGGGTACCATTCTCTTGTAGGCTGGAAATCCTAAAGTGAAATGTCTCATGATGGTAGCATGAAAGATGCTTGTTACTGCAGGAGAGGAACTTGGATTTTTCTTGCACTGTAGGTTTTGTTTTTGTGTTTTGGAATAGATTTACATATGTTGTTCCCTTTATTGCAAAACCCCTGGAAGTTAGCATTCATTCGTTAACGTATTTTAAACAACACTAAGAACATTTTTACATTTTTTCTTTTTCTTTCTTTCTTTCTTTTTTTTTTTTTTTGGATTTGGAGTCTCACTCTGTTGCCCAGGCTGGATTGCTGTGGCACGCTCACGGCCATCGTAGCCTTAACCTGCTGGGCTCAGGTGATTCTTCTGCCTCAGCCTTCCAAGTAGCTTGAACTACAGGCACATACCATGCCCAGCTAATTTTTTGATTTATTGTAGAGATGAGGTCTCGCCAAGTTTCCCAGGCTTGTCTCGAACCCGTGGGCTCAGTCAATCCTCCCACCTCAACCTCCCAAAATGCTGGGATTATAGGCATGAGCCACTGTACCCAGCAACACTAAAAACATTAAGGAACAGATAATTTAGACAAAATTCTATTCCCTGGCGCTAACAATCTAGTGGGAAAGTTATGCTGCACTGGTTTGGAACTAAACTTGGTCTCTTGAGTAGCATTTGAGGCTTTAATACTGAACCCATACGTCAAGTTTATTTGTAATCACAGTATTATGATTGCAAAATGAATAAATGTAATTTGTCATTTATTTATTCAATCTACTAATATTTAAATATTTTTATGTGCCAGGCACTGGCTTAAGGGCTGGATCTACAGCTGTGAATCAGACAAATAAGATCCCTGCCTTCATTTATTCATTCAACAAATATTTTATTTACAGCCAGTGATGTGCCAGCCACTGTACTATTAATGAGTCATTTTATAAATGTAGCAACTGAGCTCTAGTCTTCCATTCCATCATAAAACACCTATTTCTACAGTAATTTCTCCTCTGGATGTTCTTATTGTTGATTAGCCCCTGGCCATTGTGACACAGCAAGTTATAATTTTAAATATTTTAAAATGTTGCAAATTGGGTGATTGTTTTAAATTAGGTCATTTTAAAAAGAATATTTT